GCCCTGGTGTCTTTGGGGGTGTTTCTGGGTTCACCCCAGTAGGGAAGCTGGTCTTGTACGTGTGGGCATCGCCTTTTATTTGGTGTTTTCCTTCTGTGTCCCAAAGGCCGAGACATCTCTTCACGTCCCGCCCATGTCTGGAGCCAGCGGCTGTGATAGGAGACCAGAAGCAGATAGCAAAGTTTCCCTGCTCCGCTGCCTTTTCGTGCGAGCTGCGTTTATCTGCATTGTTTGACCAGCAATGGCAAATTACACCCTGCGCAGCGTGTCGTTAGGGAGAGGCAATTAAATACCAACCAAACGAGTATTGCAGCCAACGTGACCAGGGAGAAACAGCTGTAATCTGCATGGCAGCTGGGAAACACGGGGAAAATAGGAACCTTTTCACGCCAGCCTTGGCCCCAGGCTTGGCTGTGCCCAGGAGAGCATGGAGAGGATGCGAAAAGGGTTAAAAGGTTTAATAAACCATCTCACTGTTGTTTTTTTTTCTTTGCAACAAGACATTTTTCACTTCCACAGTGTGGGTGCAATGTTTAGCCATGAGGAAGGTGCGGTGCCCGTCCTCTGGTACAGAAGGTGGGAAGAGGAAGGAGAAGGGCAAGCAGCAGGGAAATACCGGAGAGGAAGAAAAGAGTTGAAGCTGCAGGAGCGCTGGCACAGGAACGACTGGAATATCAGCTGGTTGTGACCATTGGGAGCCTGGGACATGCAGGAAGGGGGTTACATGGCGTGGCTGCCCAGGACAGCAGGAATTGGACTGGGGGAGCAGCAGATCCCCTCCACCTCCACCCTCCCCGTACAACTCTATGCTCTCTGAGTAGCAGCAAGGCCAGGCTATGTGAATGTTATGATGCCAAGCAACTGAAGAGGAGCAGAACTGCATCCCTAAGCTGCTGCTGCATCCCCTGGGGCAGCCCCTGCCTGTCACCCCACACTCATGCCCCAGGGGACCCCGCCACCACGCTGCCTGTGTCCCCAAAAGCTGGGTGCCAGAGCCCAGCAGCCCGGCTGCTTCCTGCAGAGCCACCCAGACCTGCCGGGAGCATTTGGCAGCAAATCCACCCCCCAAAAATGTTGTCTTCTGCTGGTACATCACAATTTTAGACCATGTTTTTACCTTAAGTGTGGGAAAGCAAAAAATATTTATTCATTTCAGTACGACATATCAAGTGCTAGGAAAGACCGAGTGCTGAGCAGCAAGGAGCTAGCAAGAGACAAGGAGAGCTTGTGCTGGCTTACAGCCTGAGTGAGAAAGCTTGTGGGCCAACACAAGTACCAGAAAAAAAGAAAATAGGAGTGAGGAGGGCAATTAGTAGGCTGGGTGAAAATAGAGGGATGACAGCTCCCACCTGTGTAAGGGGCAGGAGGCAAGAACCTGAGGCAAAGTTTGAGGCAGCTTTCAGAGGAGATCACGGAGATGCTTTAGAGACACTCAAGGACAAAACTGGTGGAGAAGATCTGCCTGCACACCCCGGGGTTCCTGCCCAGCACGTCACACCGCAGGGACACCCGTTTGCATTACTTTGCTGCCTACGAGCCACCCGCTGTCACGTCAGGAAGACGGGGGTGATTTTTCTCCATTCTCCAGAAAGCCTGGGAATGAGTCACGGTGGAGAATGAATTACCTGTCACGTCTTGAAAAGGAGCTCGCTCCCACAATGGCTTGAGGTCAGCGTGGTGGCGAGGGAGGAAAGCTGGCGGATTGGGGAGGGAGAGACAACTTGTTTAAGTTTGGGGAGCAGCTGGGGGAGTGAAACGCCGGAGTTACAATGGCTTCGTGACAAAGGACTCCATCGGGTGGAGCTGCTCCCATGCATCCCCTCCCTTCGGCTTCAGCCACCTGCGCCCCAGCCTCTGGCGGTGCCCCTAAGCCACGTCCCATCCCGTTCCCATCTCACGCCTGCTGGGCACCAGGGCAAGCAGAGCAAGGGCAGGTGGCAGACAAGGGTCTGCAGGGACAGCCTGCAGCCGGTGCTGGTGACACTGCCCCTCACCATGGACTGGGCAGTGATGGGTGCTCAGGAGCAGATGTAATCACAAGTCGTTAAGGTGCTGCCTACAAAACTTCCTGGGTTGGTCAGCGAAGGTCTTCCCTAAAAACCCAAGACAAATTAAACAGGCAGCACGCAGGAAATGAAAACAGCAAGATTCCTCCCTCTCTGCTTTAACCTTCCAAACGAAGATTGGGGTCTGATTTGTGCTTTGAAAAAGTGGGGAAAAAGAGTCTGACTGGAAGACGGAGAAATCCTTTGTCTTTAAACATCTCCTCAAGCCTCTTCTTGCCTCGAGCCTTTCCCCCTTTCTCTGTGAACAAGGGAAATATTTGATTGGTAATGCTGGTTTCTTCCCCATAAATAAACCATCCAAGGAATGAGTGTCAAGGGGAAAGGAGGAGTGCTGGGGAGGGCCTAAGAGCTGGAGGAGTCCCAGGCATCCTGAGAAGTGCTGGTGCTTTGGTGGACCACTGCACTGGCTCTGGGGCAGCTTTAAGATTTATGGGCTGGGAAACAGGAAAAAAAAATGAAATCCAGGATTTCACCAATCTCTGTGCATTGCTCCACACTGCCTGATTTCTGTACCCCGGTGAAATCACACCTGGGCACCCAGGTGAGGAGTCACCCTCCACCTGCACTCGCTTTTGGGCTTGGGGCCACCTGGGTGACCACAAGCAGTGATGCCAATAACCCTTCCCGTGCAAGGGCAGATTATTTTGCAAAACAGGTTGCAAATGAAAGAAAATGGATTTGGAAGCGAAAAGGCTGGTATTGGAGTGGGAAACGAAGTGCTAAAAACCAAAATGTTGGTCCTCACAGCCACAGTTCCTAGCAGTGATCCAGGCTTCCTGCTGCCCTGCCCTGGTGAAGGCGGTGGCGTGGGGAGCCCCCGGGTCCAGCTGTGAGATCGAGCCTTCAGCAGTCACCCCAGATCCATCAGAAATCTGCTTTGCCTCCAGCTGCTCTAGTCTGTGACCACACATACTGTGGCACCACCACCACCACCAAAAAAAAAGGGAAGAGATGCACTAGCCCTTCAAGACTTTTTTTTTTTTTTTCCCCCTACTATCTTGGTACCGCTATCGAGCAGTGCGAAATGTCTGCCCTTGACAGATGGGCAGTGCAATTAGCACTTGGAAAACAGGTTCGTCCTTCCAAAAGGGCAGCAGCAGACTGCAGGTGAAATTTTGTAAAAGGATTACGATGGCGTTAGCCATAAAGGAGAGAGAACAGGTGGGTCCAGGAGCCTTTGCAGACCAAAACCCAGAGCTGTCCTGGCCCCAGACCCTTCCACTGCCTCCGCATCCCACGCTGTCTGTCCGAGGGGTGATTTACAGCCTCCTCCACCTGGGAACAGCTCAGGCAAGGGCTCCTCACATGCTGCAGCCTCGCTCAGCAAGCACAGCCACCACAGGGACAGGAGGAAAGGAGCAAGGGTTTGCCGATGGCGTGGGCAGCTGGGCTGTGCCGGCACCTCGTCCTGGCTCACCCCGCTTCCCCCGAGCAGATCCGCGGGTGTGCAGCCAGCCTGACAGAGCAGCCCTGAGGAGAGAAGCCTCGGGGGGAGCTCAAAGGTTAAACAACGTAAACAAGAAGGCAAATGAAGAGAGCCCAGCCCAGCTGGCTGTATTTTGGCTAACGTGGATGGGGGTGCCGTACTGCGGTCGCTGGGTGTGTGGAGCCGGCGATATTGCAACACCTCCTCCCTCAGCGCTTTAGTTTTTGTCCCGTCCCTCATGTTCACAGTGGGAGCAGAGAGTGGGGGCTACGCTGGCAGGGGAAATTTCCATGGAAATGCCCCTGCATGTAACCCAGCCCATATCCCCTGGAAACCCCATTTCTCCTGGGTCCATTCCCGTGGAAACCTGGCACCCCGGCCTCTCCTCGGGCCCTCCCTGTGGCAGTGCTGCTGTCTCCCGACCCCACTCCCCAGGGAATGTCGCAGCAGCAGGCAGGACAGACCTGTATCCACGTGGGAGCTGTGCTTTGGGGCTGCTACAGGGGTGGGTAGCAGAGCATGAGGACAGCCAGGCCAATTTGGCATCCTGCTGCTGTTGGTGGCCAAGAATGGATGCCCAAAGAAAGCCACAGTGCCGTCACCTCAAACAAGGACCGTGGTGGGCGCATGGCGCTGCTGGCACGTGGGCGCATGCCCCACGAGGCACGTGTGACAGCCAAAATGCTGCAGCCGTGCTTCCCCAAAGCCATGGGGAGCCTGAGGGACATCACTGCACGCGCTGCTCTCTGGGGTTAGCCCGCTCCCGGGGTGACTCAGGTCCCCGTGCCACCGCAGGTGCCAATTATCGCTCCCTGACGTGGCTGGATGTGGGGTCGGGAGGCAGCAGGGCCATGCTCGCAGCCAGGGGATCCCCTCAAAACACAGCTCAGAAGCCTCAGCCGATGTGGCATCAGCACCCCTCGAGGGGTGAAGCCGGGGCTGTGCTTGGGGACCCCCGGGTGGCCCTAAGAGCTTGGTGTGACAGCGACAGGCAGCCTTGAGGGGGGACAGAGCAGCAGGAAGACGTGTGGGGCGACATGGGGCGACACAGGGCAACATGAGGCGACACGGGGCGGCATGAGGCGACAAGGGGCGACATGAGGCGACATGGGGTGACATGAGGCGACAGTGGGGTGACACGGGGCGGCATGAGGCGACAAGGGGCTACATGAGGTGACATGGGGTGACATGAGGCGACATGGGGTGACAAGGGGCAACATGAGGCAGCATGAGGCGACACGGGCAACATGAGGTGACGTGAGGCGACACGGGGCAGCATGAGGGGACAAGGGGCTACATGGGGCAACATGAGGTGACACGGGACAGCATGAGGAGACACGGGGCGACAAGGGGCGACATGAGGCGACTATGAAGCGACATGAAGCGACCCGGGGCGACCCGTGGCGGCAGCACACCTTCCCAGCCCGCCGCCTCAGCTCCCCGCAGGCGGGGCCGGGCCGGGCCGCCCCGTCGGGGAGCGGGGAAGGGGCGGGCCGGCGGCGGCGGCCCCGGGGCCCGAAGCAGCGCCACAGCGGCAGCGCTAGGACCGCGGCGGCGCCGGGCCCGGCCGCACAGGGCCCCACGGCCGCACACGCAGCGCCGCCGCCGCCGCCGCCACCGTGCAGGGCCCGGGGCTTGGGAGCCGCCGGGGCATGGGGAAGCGCGGCCGGCCGCGGAGGGAGCCGCGGGGGGGAGCGGGGGCGGCCGGCGGGGCCCGCTGCCCCCTGGGGGAGCTGTGCAACGCGGGCATGGACACCTTCCTGCGCAACGTGCAGGTGCTGCTGGAGGCCGCCAGCTACCTGGAGCGGATCGAGAAGGAGAATAAAAGTGAGTGAGCGAGACGGGGAGGATGGGGGGGGGCATGAATGCACTGCTCGGGGCTGGGGGGGCAGCGCCGCGGGGCTGGCACCCCCCCGTCCCCGGTCCCCCTGCCGTGTGCCCGGTCCCCCTGCCGTGTGTCCCCGCTGCCCCACGGCCGGGGCCGGTGTCCCGCAGCCCCTGGGGGGGGGTCCTCGGGGAGGGAGGAGGCGGCGGCGCGTCCCCGCTGCCCCCGCCGGGGCATCGGCACAGTCACGTAGGCAAGCGGCGGCGCTCGCCAGGTAGCCGCGGGGCAAGGCAGGGCAAGGCAGGGCATGGCGAGCGGCCGGCCTGCCGCTGCTGGAGGGTGCGCGCACACTGCGCCATGCCCCAGCGCGGAGCGGGGAAGAGGGGCTACGGAGGGAGTGTGGGGGGGGAGGCGTGCTGCGAACAAAGGGGCCGCCGTGCCCCGGGGCGCTGCTGTGCGTTGCATCGCGTTGCGTTGCGTTGCTTTTTGCACCGCGCTGCTTTGCTTTGCTTTGCTGCTGCGCTGCGCGGCGTTGTTGCGCTGAGCGCCCTGCGCGGGGCTGAGCCGCGCTGCGCCCCCGCGGAGCTGCGCCGAGCCCGAGCGGGCAGCCCCCGGCCCCGCCCCCCGCGGGCGCATGGCTCGCACATGGAGGCAGCGCGGCGCGCTGATTGGCCGCCGCCTCCCGAGGGGCGGGGCCAGGCGCGACTCTCCACCAATGCGCGGCGCCGGGGTCCCCCCCGTGACGTCACGTGTTGCTGAGCGGGGCGCGGAGCGGGGGGGGGGGGCGGCGGGGTGAGCCCGGGGCTGCCGGGTGCCCTTGTGTCCCCGCGCCCCCCCCCGCACCTCTCGCTTTTGGCTCATTTCGTCCTTTCTCCTCTTCTGTTTTCCTCATTTTCCCCTCTTATGTTGCTCTTCTCCCTTTTATTTTCCTCTCCTTTTTTTTTTTTTTTTACTCTCTGCTTTTTTTCCCCCGTTTTCCCTTTTTTCCCCTTTTCACCTTTTTTTTCCCCTTTTTCTCCTCCTCTCCCAGCTGCGTTTCCTTTTCCCCTTTTTTCTTTTTCCCAGTAGCAGCGCCCCGCCATCCCTCACCCTGTCTCCATCACAGCATCGCCCCCCCCCTCCCCGCTCCACTGCCCATAGGGCCCCCGCATGGGGCACCCCCACTTTGCGGGACCACCCCCCCGCTGCTGCTGCTGGTGTCCGGCCAGGCTGCTTTCCCCTTCCCCAAAACTTGGGTTTTCGCCTCCCGTTTACAATTTGTCGTTTCATAATGAGCCTGCACAGCCGCGCAGCGGAGGAGCAGAGCAGCCCAGGGGCTGCCGTACACAGGGAAAGGCTGGGAGCGAGCAGCACCGTGCGCTTCGTTGAAAAACTGCGTCCTTTTTGTGTTTGGAACCAAAAAACGGGCTGAGCGGTGCAACTTGCCGGCTGTGCTGCGTGAGCAGGACACGGGGATGCGGGATTTTTGTTGCGTTGTTTTGGAAAGAAAGCGTTTACAGCCAAGTTGTTTTCACTGAGTCTTCTGCTGACGATAATCACGGTCCCAGCAATTAAACTCCTCACTTCTCTTAGGAGATTCTGCAACATCTTTCTTTTTTTTTATTTTTTTTTGTTGGCAATCGGGACATTTTAGGTTGAAAAGTCCCGTTTAGCCCAGGGCTGGGCTATCGAGCGTGCTGCTGGAGCCGTGGCCGCGGTGGAACAGGCGGCTTTGACGTGTTGCTCCCAAACAAAGAGAAACGCTGCTGGAATTGGAAAACAACCTCCGAGCACCACGGGCCCGGTTTGAACTGAGAACAGCTGCAGGGGCAGGAGGGTTACGTCCGAGGGTATCTACCTGGCCTGGCTGGGGAGAGATTTGCGTGCTCGGCTCGGGTTATATTGCAGCAGGAGGATACGCTGCCCTTTAGTCTGCCAGAGCGGGCAGGATCGCTCGGTGCACCCCTCGCTGGCTGCCAGCTGCTGATAATGGCTCCTCGCTTATCAGTGCCGTCTCCTACCTGGCAATTAGCAATAACAAAGGAGGCCGGCCCCAGAAGTTGGGTGACGGGAGCTGTGTCCCAGCTGGCGGCAGGCAGACTCAGCACCCTCCTGCTTCCTGCAGCCTGCCCGGGTCATTTGAGCGCGGCGCTCGGCAGGGCTCCAAGGAGCTATTTTGGGGTGACTCCCACCAGGAAGGCGGCTGAGTCACAGCCCTGCTGGGCTCGGTGCTGTGCACGTAGGGGAATGACGGCGCCCTGCCCCAAGGAAACACGGTCTGTTAAAAAAAACAAAAAACAAAAAACAAACAGAGGTAGCAGGTGGATGTTTGGCTCCACCTGGCCAGGACAGGTGCTGGGGATGGGGAAGCAGCAGGGGTTGGGAGTAGAGCCCATGCGTTATCCTGATGGGGTAGCGCTGCTCATCATGCAGATAGTGCGTGCGTCCTGAAGGGCTTTGGGAGCTAACGATGGGGCTGTTAATGGTGAGCCTGGAAGGGGATCGTAGTTCACACTGTTTCTAAAAAGCCGTGCTCAGTGCCTGCAGTTGTTCTCCTGAGCCCTTGCTGGCCGTACAGGTTGCTCACCTCAAAGCGCTGTCCCAAGCAGGGGTGGGTGCTGCCTGGTGGAGCAGCCCCATGAGAGCTGGAGGCGATCTGTCTCCCTGCCCACATGCTGCACCTTCCAGTGGTGTAGGAACAGCTCTGAATCCCCTTTCAGAAATTCAGAAAATAAGACTTTATTTTTTTTTAACCAGCTCCCCCTTAGATGCATTTGCAGCGTACCGTCAGGTCTGGAGCAGTGGGACACTAATTCAGTGGTGCCCGTTCAGCACAGTAAAACACTGCTTTGGTGTTCATTTGCTTTGTTAAAAACTAGAATGTGTGGGTCTGCAACATTATCTGGAGTACACTGCAGTGCCTGGGTAGGATGGAGTCCCATTTTCAGACTGCTTGGGAAAAATGGGGTGTTTTTAGGTACTGAAATCACAGAGAAGTCTTTCCTCTGGTTTTCTCCGCTGGAAATGAGCGCTGCCTGCCTGGTGATGCAGCTCTCAAGGCGAGACCACAGGACGCAGCCCCAGCACACCTCGCTGACTGACACGGGCGGGTTTCCAAATGACCTGTTTCTAGGAATCGTAGCTCGGTATCAAAGGAATGGAAACATCACATGAAAAATGACTCTGGCTGTTTTCAGAAATGAAAGCTGTGCTGAGGGCAGCGCCGTTGGTGCGTGGGTAACCTCTGCCAATGCCCCTTCACAACGGTGTGTGGCTGGAGGGGGGTAGCAATGTGTGAAAGCAGCTGAAGTTATTGAAGTTTGGAAGATGGCTTTAGAGAGAGGGACCTGAAGTACATTCAGCTGGGGTTGGCATGTGCCAGACATTACCCGTGTGTTCGTGGACTCATGCTTATGTCAGTGGAAGGTTGCATAAACACACGTGATTAATTCTTTGGATGTGATGCTTTATCTGTAATAGACGTGGTACGTAATACACACTGATCTCACTACAGATACAGACACACGCTGTCACATCCTCCTCTAAAAGCACGAAGGCGAGCAAACCTCCCTGACAGCGGTGTCCTTATTCACGTGTTTAGTAGAGGTGTGTACAGAGGACTTCAGCCCCTCACAAGAAGCTTGCTGGATCTTCTTTGTGGTCTGACTTTCAAGTGCCGCCTCTGTTCAGTGACCTTCTGACCAGGAATAACAAACAGGTGACCCTAGGTTTGTCCTTTGCTCTTGAATAATCCTGTCTCAAGGAGAGCAGAACTGAGCCTTGAGGGTGAGTCAACACTGTATTCATCACGTGGCTCCCTCCATTGTTTTTGGGGCAGTTTGGGGTCTTTTTCTGACAAGCCAAAGCAGAGATGTATCAGAAACCTGTAATTAGTAGAGGGCAGAAGGATACGAGACTGCCTTAAGTTTGTGTGCAGAGCTCCCATGAATCAATGAGAGCTGAACCCGGGCCTCAAGGTCGGTATAGGTGGTCCTGGATCTTAGGTTGATGCAGTATTTGGAGCAGTACAGGGCTCCTTCATTTCTATATTTTTCATCCAGCTCACAATAAGCCTCCTTCATTCCTCCTGGTTCGTGACCTGGCCACAGTGATTCATGAGTTAGCTACTTCCAGGTTGGGTTATTTTGACTCAGGCTGCTTGGACCTCGTCATAAAATGCAGAAGGAAGCCACAGCAGGAGAAATGATGGGGCAGAGGTGGAGCTGTGGGGCCGTGCCAGAAGCCCTACTGAGAACCGATCACGTCCCTTGTCAGCAGAGCATCCTCAGAGCTGGCAGAGAAGCGCCATTGTCTGGAGAACCCGACCTTACTATTAGTAAGCTGAGGGACCCCATCCTGTATGTGCTGTATTATTTATGGGCGGCCCTCTTGCTTAATTTTGCAGCCGGGTTAGCCAAGTGACTTGACCCAAGTCACAGAACGAGGCACTGACTCACAAGGAACTGGGGCACGGCGCGGGTCTGAAAACAGCAACACATCTCTCAGAGGATTGGGAGCAAGCCAGCAGCCCGGAGAGGCAGTACACCTGTGGCTTTTTGCCTTATCGATCGGTAGGGCTTGCTCTTTGACTCAGTGTGTATAGCATGCGCTTCATTCCTGTCCAAACTCGGGGGTATCCAGGTGGTTTGGCTGCGAGCAATTTCTGTCCTCACCGTTGGATGGGTTCCAGGCACCAGTGGGAGTGCTGCGAGGGATTATCTGATGCCTTGCAAAAGAACGAGGCTCCTCGATGAGAAATGAGGCCACATCCTGTAGACGCTGTAGGTCCCTTACCAAAGGTATTGCAGGCATCGGAAGGGAGATGGGTATGGGAACGGAGACGTGGTTGTTAGTGTGTGCTGGTAGATGGCATGTTCAGGTGTGCCATAGATCTTCTTCCCCTGGCTAGAAAAACAGGGCAGTTTTATGGAGCTCTTCTCACCAAAAATTTGCTTGTTCCACACTCCAGTGAATCTTTTTACTGATTTGAGAGCTGCAGAAAATGGTTCCTCACGGGGATCTCTGTTCATGCCTTAGTTGCAGGGGTGTTAGGTTGCAAGGCTTTGAAAGCAAGATTAAGGATTTGCAGAGTTTGTGTGAAGGTGGGCAAAGGAAACTCTTGCAACTTTTGCCATGTTCATGTTCCTAGCTGATTTTGCAAAGCGCTGAGGATGGGAGGATTTAAGAAAAAAACAACCAAGGGATGGGAAACCAGGCAGTTTAACCAAAGGTATTGCCCTTGCTGAAAATAACACCCAGATTGCAAAGCCCTGTGTTATTTCTAAACCTCGTGCTCAAAGCAGAGGGTTGGGCATCTTGATTCATGAGCTGTATTCTTGTTCTACTTCTAGCTTAGGGTGTGCCTTCTTCATGTGCTGCTTACACCTCAGTTTCCCTTCCTGCAGAGTGGAAAGAAAAAAATAAACTGAAGTCATTGCCGTCTTGGGGAGCTTAAAACATTACTTTCTGGAAAGCTCCTAGAAGATTCCCCTGATAGAAGCAGCTAGTTTAACGCAAGTGGTGGTGGTGGTAAAAAACAGACCACATCTGTTTTACTTGATTAAAATAGCACAGCAGCATTTCAGATGTAAATATTAATTGATTTCTGCACTGCAGATTTCTTCTTGGATATTTAAATTGTTGCTAAGGAGGAGGGAAAGGCTATCAGGGAGATTAACAAATCCATTATTAAGGCTGGAAATGGAGGGCTGCCGAAGTGCCATTTAATAAAATGTAAAAAGCCCCTTTCTAAAGGGCGAAACAGCAGAACACACAATGAAAGTGAATCACAGCTGCCAGAAGGGATGCCAAGCAGCAAGCACTTATAATCAGAAAACTGTACTTACAGATCATTTGGAGCCACTAAATTAAATGATCTCATTCTCCCCTAAAATACTCTTCCCTTAGCCCCTCCCCAGCATTGCCCGTGGATTGCTCAACCACATTTTAAATGTGACTTTGGGGGTTTTTTGGTCAGCAGTTGAATAGCACTAGGCGTCTTCGTGCCATTCACTTTCCACCCACTTTTGTTTCTGTCACATACAAATCTGGCATTTTACGGGCTGACCTGCCCACACTGGCACTTGGGATGACAACTGAAAGATTTTGCAGACCTACTGTGGCTCCGTGGTTGGCTTGCCTACCTCTGTAGGGCTTTGGGAAGATGTCCCGCAGTTTACTCTCAAATTTGTCTTTGTTCCACACAGATTTTTTTAATTGTACATTATTTACTTAAGAAACAAAGATGTGGAAGCTGAGCTGATGTGTAAATGGAAGAGCTGATCCTACATCACTGCACAAAGAACTGATCCTGCTCTTTACTCTGGTGCTGATTTATTTCACCACGTGCACCCATGTCCTCCTCCTCCTCCGTACTCTTCTATTTTGTGTCTTGAACCTTGGCTCCAGGAGGCTGATACTTAGACTCCTAAATTACCACTTCATACTACAGCCGTGGCTTTCCCTACTTAATCCCTAGAGCCACTGCACGCATCGCCACGTGAAAAGGTAGTGGTGGTGGTTGCTGACAACAACTTGTCTTGCAGTGATTTTTGAGTCACGGTTTGCTGGTTTGCTTTTTTCTTTTTTTTCTTTTTTTTTTGATGCTTAGTATTGCTAATCCTGAAAGGCAAACACTGCTGGTTTTGGAAGCAGGATGTACAGTCGGAACTCAGAAATGCTCTTGTGTTAACCCCGCTGTCGCAGAGCCGCACGTGCACCTGCATCCTTTTCCCTTTGTGAGAAATCCAAGAGCACAGAAGTAGTCCCTGGGACTACTCAAATTTGAGTCTTAACATGTGCTGTTAATTATCTGTGCTATCAGTAGTTTCCAGTATAGAAAAGAGAAAGAGAGACGGAAAGAATACTTCCTTCCCTGAGCTCTCCCTTGGATAAAAGCTGTTTTTTACGAGCCTCCTGGGCTGGCTCCGTGTGTGTGTGAGTGGTGGTTGTCCTGCTTGGGTGAGGACTGGGCCTTGCTTTTCTGCTAGGTGGAATGAGGGAAGTACGGCCCTGAAGGTGTTCCAACTTCCTTTCTTTTTTAACTGTCCCGTCTTAAGAGAAACAAACCAAGTCAGCCCTTTGAGATTCAGAGATGAAAGGGGTTGTGTGCGAGCTGAATAGTGGTATTATTTTTACTTCCATCAGCTGCAAGCCTGCAGTTTTCTGGGGAAACCTCTGAAATGGTGAATCAGAGAAATGCGCTTGAAGAAAAATTAACTAAACTAAATGCACTTTTTTTCAGGCCTTCTCAAGGCCTACTGCCAAGTCTTACAACTTTACCATGAGTCTCCTGATATTTTATGCTCTGTTTAAAGCTCTTGCTAAGAGACATAAGCCATTGAGAATCTGAGCTTTTCTGGGTTTTGTTATTTTGTTGAAGGTACTTTTTCAGCTCCTGTTCTGTTGGAGGAATGCTCGAAAATGTGGTCAGTCACAACCTAAAGGTTCAGAGCTGTGAAAAATAACCCCAAGAAAACAATCATGACTCTGAATGTTCTGGTCATTTCTGAACATCCTGTGATTATTGTTCCACTTCAGGGTATAGTTAAAGTATTTTGGAGACTGGTATAATACAATTAAATACTAATAGTTTTTAAGCTCCATACCAAAAAACGTTAATGTTGGTGAAATTCGGTCACAGATGTGATCACAAAGGTGTGTATCTGTAGGAAAGTCGGGATGTAAGAGTATTGTTAAGCCACTGGGAAGGGTGGAGGTGGGACTGCAAGGTGTAGGTGTGACAGGATTCTTTAAAATATTGAGGAGGCCAAGTGTCACTTATTTATGTGGTGCTTCAGATACACAAAATGACTTCATTAGTACATAGACTTGCTGTCTGGGCCTTCTTTTGTCTAAATTCTTGAAGGACTGTACTCGGGTCGGGGTGTGTGTCCCATACTGCTGCCTCCTGTCAGGAGCACGGCTCGAGGTGCGCCTCGCCTCATCTTCTTTACATCTCCACAGCCGAGATGCGGAAAGCTCCCACTCTGCAGCTTTTTTTTGTGTGTGTAGCCTCTCTTGGCTTTTCTCTCACCCCACTCGGGGTACTTCCACGCCTGGAAGTTTGTAAAGAGAGGCACAAAGCGGCTGCAGGCCCCGAGCCGGCAGCGTGCTGAGCCCACGGGGGGCTGCCTCCTTGCTCCCCCTCGGGGCCAGCCGCCATCGCCTCAGAGCTGAAAGAGGGGTGAATGCCGGTGGCAGCCGCCATCCCCCAGGGCTCAGAGGCAGGCAGGAACTACATTTCCCAGGCAGCCCCATGCCGCTGCGCCCCCTTCTCCCGTGAGCGCCCGGCCGAGGTAAACAAAGTGCTGCGAGGCGGGGGGGGGGACCGGGACTGGCCCCGGGGGGGGGCAGCGTGGCCACTGCTGAGGAGAAGGAGGAGGAAGAGGAGGAGGAGGAAGGCTCCCCATCCTCATCCTCATCCATCCAGGAGGGAGCTGGGGGGGTTTTGGGGGAGCCTTTGGAGCCCCCCCCTCCCCGGGCGGCTCCCCGGGGCATGGAGCAGGTGCAGCTGATCAACATCCAGCGGCTGCTGGAGGCGGCCGAGTATCTGGAGCGAAGGGAGAGAGGTAACGGCAGGAACGGGGGCTGAAATTGTCTTGTGGAGGGGCTGAGGTTCAGGGGCAGGGCTGGGAGAGCCTCTACCAGGCGGTGGTGGTGGAGGTGGGAGCTTTGTGGGGAGAAAGGGGAGCGGAGGTGAGCGCGGCTCCTGGGAGGAAGGCGAGGGGACGGCGGCTGGGGAGCTGCAGGGATGGGGTGGGAGGCTCTGGCTTTGCAGAGACCTCGGCAGCACGGAGAAACGGGGCTGATTTCCTCGGTTCACGCAGCTCGGACAGGAAGAGAGGGACGAGGCAGCCTTGGCCGTGGTGGCTTCTTGTGGTGTGTGTAGGTACCGGAGACGCGGGCCTTCCCCCAAGGCCGGCAGAGCCTTCGCACTCCCCTTCCTCTCTTCTCTCCACCTCCGCTCCACTTCCCCCTGAATACATCAGCAGTCATTTCCCTGTGCTTAGGGGCCTCCCCAGCTAGGCTGACGGGTTAGCAACGAGGCCTGCCAGCTGCCTTTTCTTTTTTTCTTTTTTTTTATTTTATTTTTTTTCCCCAAATGATCCTTTTTTTTATGCCCTGCCTGTTGATTCTTGTGCAGAGTGCGAACATGGCTATGCCTCGACCTTCCCCTCAGTTTCAAGTCCTGGACTCCAAGACCCAAAGCCCACGCGGAGGCTGAGCCGGGCAAGGAAACACAGCGGCAGTGGCAGCAATGCAAGTATTGCCAACAGGTACGACACGGGCAGGAAGGCGTGGGGTGCAGGGCTGGACGGGAGGACCGAGCTGAAGAGGAAAGCTGGAGATGAGAGGAGAGAAGCTTAACCAGCAGGGAAAAAATGGGAAAAGTCTGAGCACAGGGGGATTCAGAGCTGGGACACACGAGTACAGCATCCCTTCTGGATGCGTGGTGCTGCGAGCAGAGGGACACAGGGGAGCTGTATCCGTGGCACCGCCAGCTGACTCCATGCCAAGGCTCGGATGCTGCAGAGGGAAGTGGAAGAGGGAGATCTGTGCGCGGGGTGTAGGGAGGAGACAGGCGATAGCTCTTCCCATTATACACGGCTGATGCTGCCTTTCCAACCCAGAAGTCACTGCTCTTAAGGGATAGTGTGTGTGCAGCCTGAGTGCTTTGGGATTGTAATGACAGGCATGACTTGAAGCAAGGAAATGATGTTTTGAAATGGATCTCCTACAACAAATGGGAGAGAGGGAGATGACTGGCTGCTAGATGCAACGTGTTAAAAATTCAGTTCAGGAAATTGAAGCTGTCTTTCACTCTGCCTTTCAGGGCAGTAGGATTTCCCAGCTTCCTGATTGCTTGGTGATTGTAGAGCTCCATGTTTTTGACACTTTACTTATTAAACAATGCCATATTTCTTGGCTTGTTAAACGTAGAATAGACAAGCAGATTAGGCCTAACACTTGATGCAGTGGTAGGAGCTGACCTTCCCTTCTAGCTGATAGCCTTTTCGTTGTGTTGTTTGTTGTTTTTTTTTCCCTCCCTTCTGTAGAAGTGTTCAGACCTTGTTGAGAATTTCTGGCACAAAGAAACTCTAGAAACAAAGTACAATTTTGCAAAGGCAATTGCAAGCTTGCTTTTACTGCAGGGAGGCTTGTGCAATCCATAAAATGGTGGCAGGTGGCTCAGGTGGTGAAAGCTTTCTTAAAGCCATCGGAAAGGGACCCGTAGAGGCCATGGAGAAAGGTGCCTTTCTTTGCTTACAGGGATTCTGCTTGGGCAGCTTTTGATAACAAAGGATGTTTGAAGTGAAGTAAGGATGCCTTGCTGTGGGGAACTCTTCTTCCTCAGGATCAGCACATCCTGGGCTCTTTTTATGCTGCATGTTTGTGTTTGTCTGCCTTGTTCATCCGCCCTCTCCTGATTTCAGGGCAGCCATAGTCCTTTCCTAATTCCCACAAACAAAAGTCCCAAATCCCAGTCACTCTTTACTGAGAAATGATGGCAAATGCTGAGTTGAGATCTGTGTTTTTCCCTCCTAGGTCTCTCACGTGTCTTTTTTCCATCCCACACCGTTCTCTCAAAGGCCTTTGTCATGGCAACCTGCCCTTCTCCAGAGGAGGGCTGCGAGCACATCCCCCTCAGGAGCTCCTTAGCACCAAATCCTCCATCCTCTGGACTGGAGAGGGACGCGGAGGACTCCCTGGGTGCTCAGTGTGCCCTGCCAGCATGGAGCCCTGAGCTGCCTTTCTGGGCTGAGACCAGCCCAAGGGGCTATTTAGCGTGACGGGCTGACATGTTGGAGGCTGTGGCGTGAGGGTAAGGCAACAGAGAGGCAGAAATGATACTTTCCAGCCTTATTTAAGACCTTCATAATACAAGGAATGCCTGAGTACCACCTTGATTCGTTAGCACGGAAGCTGTAGGCACTGTGTGCTGCCTCCCGTTCGTCTTTTGGGCTGAGGAAGGTCTGCTGGGACAGCGAGCAGAGCAGTGCTGGGGCTCTCAGAGCTTGTGCACGCCGTTGGAAATGGAAGTTTCTTTCGGCGAGCCGTAGCAGCTTGCGCTTGCTGTGGGAGATGGCAGGCCTTCCAGATGGCTGCCGTGCCGGGAAGTGACAACTGTGAAGTTCAGGGTGCCTCCAAATTCACTGCAGTGTGTCTGGTGTGACGCCGAGTACAGCATTAGCCTTGTTTAAAGAAGGCTCTGGATCATCCCTTCCTGTTCAAATCAACGGGACAGTTCAGGAAGCGCTGCCTAGTGAGGTTCACATGGACTTTGAATTAAATACCAGGCCCTTGATGGGGGATGAAACTTACATTTCAGGCCTGGGCGAGCTATTTTCTTAGATGACTTTTGTCTCAAAATGTTTAATTAGCATAGAAAAAAGATTCTTTTAAAATCTAGTGCAGATTTGTCATTGAAAAGCCTCCTGTAGGAAAAGAAGGAAAAGACTCTCAAGCAACCTTGGCAAAGCACAGTTGTTCTTTTTTTTTTTTATATCAGTATATGCACCTTTAGTACTTGAGAGATTTGAGTGCTGTTGCTGGTCTTTATTGAACCAAACAAACCATGAGTGTGAGACACAAAGCGTTTACATAACCTCGATGCTCTTTATTTCATAGTTTAAGTATTTCTGCTCACTGTTTGCAACAACAGTGACTTTTTTCCTAACAGAGCCTGTGGTGTAGTGGCACAAATACCTGCAGGTATTTATACCCCCCTGCCGAGGAACAGGCAGCCCACCTCTGGATGGCACTGGTGGAGCAAATCCTACTCTTAAAGAAATAGGGACAGTCTCCCAGCACCTGCAAAATAACTTTAGTTCTGCCCCAAACAGGAGTGTACAACTAAGAGGGGAAAAAAAAACATAATTTTGTTATTTCTAATTGACATGATACATCTTTAAATAAGGATGTTTGGGCTCAGGTCCTCTCTTCCTTTTGTTTGTTTCAGTCCTGCAGCTGACAGCTTGCACAGGGATCCCCCTCCGTGATCCTCGGGCATTATCTAGATGTATGCGTGGGGTTTTGCATGGATGTTTTAAAGACCTTTTTGGGATTAGTGACTAGCAGTGCGTGCTGTGATTTAAAATCTGAATGTATTTAAACATGTGCAGTCCTGGCTTTAGTTAGAGATGTTTAGGTACCGAAAATTACCCACCTGCAAAAACATGTGGGGAACCACAGTCATTGTGACCTGGAATTTTTAATAAACAAAGGAAACTTACAAAATATATATATCCTTTAGAAAAATGCATTATAGTTGAGCCAGGTCTGATATTTATGTATTTTTGAAAAATATTTGAGAAGAGTTTTTAATCAATTTGAGTTGTTGCATGAGCAGCAAAGAAACAGCAGGGATGCTAAATGATTTTTTTTTTCACTCGAAATACAATCAGTCTAATAAAGGTAAGATTTATAAGAGAATCTGAAATTACATTCCAACATCATCATATTGTCATTTGTATTTTTCACAGCTCCTCAGGCATGTAGAGAAGCCTGTTATTTTCTTGGTCTGATCCTGGGGAAATGCCGAGCACCCTTCCAGGGACGCGGAGAGCCCTCAGCCCTCCCAGAGGGGCACTCAGAGAATCTAAGCTCAGTTCCTTGGGGAGGGTTTGATCTCTCCAGTTTCTTTTTCCTTTTGTTTTCCTCTCTTCCCATTATCTTCCCTTGTGTCCCAGGGGCCTTCCAGGCACCTACACCGGGTAGCAGGCTGCCTGCAGAGCTTGGAGGTGGCAGCTGCAGTGGGTATGGTGAGGCGTTTTGGACAGGGTGACCTAAAAGCCTGGGTGCCTGGGCTTCTGTGCCCGGCTGGCTGTTCCAGTGATGCAGTTCCTCGATTTCTATATTGTTGCTCTCACAGGTGGGTGTGCAGAAGGTGTCTCACGTGCCCCAGGCGAAGGCTCTGTGTGCTGCAGGCTCACAAACATGGGTGCAGAAGCTAAAAGGTTGTGGCAGCTGTAGGTGCAAGGCAGCCTGGTGCACAAGGAAGCCTGGTTTACCACAGCAGCAGCTCTGTGCCACCCCACCTCTCTATGCAGGGGGGGTCCTGAAGGCTTGCTTGGGCACGGCTGTAAATATAATGCACCTTTTCTATCAGAGGGGGTTCATTGCCCCCTCCCCAGCCTCTAGCAGTTGTTTGTTTATGGATATTTATTTGTTTGGGGTATTTTTTTTAATCCTCTTGTACTCACACCTCACTTCACAGCTAGTGGGAGCTGAGTTTTGGCTCTCTGTGTGTAGGTGAGTTAGGATCTGGCCTTTGTGTAACGTGCTGGGTGTAGAGACTGCTTGTGGCTCCAGCCTTTTGGGGCAGGAGCTCTGCTGGTGGCTTGCCTCGTACAGTACAAATGCACACGTGTATGATAGGGAGGATGCATGAGGTCAGCTGTGCCTGCTCCGCCTGCTTTGATTCATGCCATGTTTTGGTAGTGCACAGACAGGGAGGTGGCTATCTGGAATCCTCGTGCTGTTGTTGAAATCTCGTCTGGAAATAGCTGGGGGTGGGATCTTGTCTTCTAATCCCGTAGGTAATTTTTCAAGGAAGGAGAAGTGGACAAGGCTGAGCTGCTGGTAAGGAATGCTGCTCTGGGAGAGCTGCTCCGAGGGATGAGTGCTGACTGCCACTAGGTGTAAGCATGACTTCTCTTTGGGAAAGCACAGCGATGGTTTGAGTGTTAGGTTGGGAAAAAGGATTTTTGGTCCATTCTGTTTCCTGAGCTCACTTGGCAAGGCAAGCTGTGCTCGAGAGCCCCGCTGCCAGCACGACCTGCGTGTAGCACAGGAGAGGCCTCTCGTGGCTTGGCTGCGGCACCAGAGCAGACTGCGGACCAAAGGCTGGCCCTCAGGAACGAGCTGGTGGAACAGCAGCTACAGCAAACGCACAGGAGGCACAGCACCCCTTGTGAAAACCCCGCTGCCTTCTCCAGGTTAGTACCAGAACATGGATCAGAGCAGGTCCCCAGCTGCTCTCCTGAGGGAATTTGCGTCGGAGTCTGCACGTAAGGAAATAGGATAGGGCTGATGGGATACCAGAAAGTAAGGGGGAACCCAGCAAGTGGTGTGAGAGCCTCCAATCCCTCTGCTTGCTGAGGGATGAGGCCCCCGGATGCAGTAGGGCCGGTGTGTTTCCACTGGGGAACCCGCCTCGTTCCCCTTTGGCACCCTGTTTATGTGATCTGCGCTGCAGAAAGCCCTGGTGCTGGGCAGAACTCAGACTTTGATGCCTTCAGTAGGTGTAAAAAGTCATTTGCAATCTCGTTAGACT